CACACACACTCACACACACACACTCACACACTCACACACACACCTCTGTAGGGCGGCTGCGGTGTGGTTCTGAGGAACAGGCCTTTAGCGCTCCTCCCTGATCGATCGTGCCGCACAGCGAAGCCCAGTGTGTTACAGCGCAGCTGCTTGCAGTCCAGACACAGGCCTCTGCTGAAGGCACTGTCGTCACGGCAACGGTAGCCTATTATGGGCTGGCTGGCGTTGATGAGGGAGTCGGTGAAGAGTTTGACGGCACGCTCGTGGGCGCATTTAATGGTCTTGGGAACTCCTATAAAACAGAGTGTCTGTGTGGAAATGACTATGTTCACTGTGCTGTGAAACAGCAGGTGAGGCGCTGTTTGCGCTCTATTTTTAATCGTTGGGTGTATGTAAATATGCACTAGGCAGACGCATTTCAGTTGAGCCTGCTGTTTCACATAAGTGTAATGTTTTTGTAAGAGTGTGTGCCATTAAAAAAGTTAAAGCACAGACAGCCTCATCAATCCCCATAATGCATCATCTCATGTGCAATATAACCATTTATTAAACTTGTTTTCCAGTACAAATATCTAAATATTATTTGTATTAAAGATGCATTCACTTGATTACTAAAATGACTTAACATATTAAGTTTTGTTTTCTGCAAAATTTATCAAAATTATGTATGTTTTTGCTTAAATTGAAAAAAAAAAAAAGCTAGCAGGGCAAGAAAAATAATATTGTTTCCCTTTGAATTAAAATGATTGTTCTTACCCCATTGGCAGATTTTTTAATAAGCAAAAATTAACAACATTTTGATCAATTTTTCATAAAATATTGCTTAATATCATAAGTCATTTTGCTAATCTTGATTCAAGAACCTTTAAATATTTGTACTAGAAAACGAGAAAGATAACCATTTTTTGCAGTGATATTTTATATATATTTTTTATATATGATATAGTTTCATGTTAATTTCAGTTACAGTTTAGTAATTTTGTTGTTGTTTATTGTCATTTTTATTACTTTTTGTTGTTTTTAATGTAAGCATGTCTATATAGTTATGATACATTTTAATTTTAATTTTACTTTTATTTACTTTAGTCATCAAGTTAAACTAGAAACTAGCTTAAATAAAATAAATTTCAATTAAAAAAAATGTTTTATGTTTTTATGGTTTTAGTTTTAGTTAATATATAACAATGGTTAATTTATAGTTTATATTTAGTTCATATATGATATAAGTCTGCTGTGCACTGGAAGCTTCAGTCACCAAGACATATTCCTCATTCAGCTGCTTCTGAATCTGACTCATCTTTTAAAAACGTTTTAAAAAAGATTTCTGCGTTTTGTGTAATTAATCAAACACACAAGAACACGTCCAGTTTGAATGGCCTCTTATGTAAATAAATGCAAATGAATCCTATCAAATGTGTCCATATTTTGTCCAGCTGTACCTTGCAGGCCGTACTGGAAGACGTTGCTGTAAATGTCCAGCATCTTGCAGCCGGGCTGAAAGGAGCCCCCGTTGGGGTAGAAGTCGACGTGAGCGACGCTCTGCTTTATTCCCACGCCCGGCACGATGCTGGAGCCGGTGAAGGTGTGGACAGCATCCACGAACTGAGCGTCGTCCGGAGACAGTCTGTCAAACGCCGGCAGACCCTCAAAGTGTGGCCCGGCCGGATCCAGACCTGCAGCAAACACACAAACACTTCATGTGCTTCATCCAGACTCAGTGATCTGGACTCTGAAAGACACCGGTGGAGAACGTGGGCATCTCTCTACACATCTGAGTCATGTTAAAATCTACACTTCTTCATTCTAGTGATTAGAGATGTGACGGTATGAAAATTTCTTATCACGATTATAGTGACCAAAATGGTCACAGTTATCAGTATTATCACGGTATTGTTAAAATGTGCTGGAAATTTTCAAAAACTACTGACACATAAATCCTTTCACAAAGTGTTATATTTAAAATCGACAAACAACAAAAAATTTACTTTTTGTGTGCATAAACACTAAAACAAAAACATTACCAATGATGGCCAGATTTTAAATGACAACATGACTGACAGCAGTTTATCTAATAACATGTACGAAATGTTCAAATAACACTTTGAAAAGGTTTCATAAAATAGTAAACCTCACATTTTACCTCCTCACAAAGAAAAGAGTTGTCAAAATGATAACTGATAAATAAATGATTATCTGTATTTTATCTGCTCCATAAATACTTATTAGGTATTACATGGAGCGAAGGTGAAAACAAAATGCCATCTAATCTTTTCTGAAGACAGTCAGAACCTTCAGAGGTACATTCATGTAATTGATTCATATTAATATGTATAATTAAAACCTCCCAGCTTTCCTCCATGTTTTCACACAAAACGAAACTAACGTTACTCTGCGTGTTGTGCGCACCTGTTTTTTTTTTGTTTATTTTTACTTTCTTAATACCAGACAAAATAATGGGATGGAATAATGATTTTTTGAATGCTCAATACACCTATTGTAGCCTACCTGAAAATAAAACACTGTTTATTTTATTTTATACTATGTGTATTTGCAATGTGTATCTTTGTTCTAATTTTTTAATAACAAAGATAAAATAATGACAGATTTTTATCTTCACCCACTTTGGCCTAAATAACTGCCATACTTTTGTATATTTTGTTACCTTGAAAGGCTTTGTCTTTATAATAGGTAAATTAGTTTGGCTGTAATGCTCAAACAGCTTGCAAAACAGAAAAACCAACATGACAAATAATCGTCATAAAATCGTGAATCATGATATTTCTAAAAAAAATCGTGATATTTTTGCCATGAGGGGGAACATAAAAGGCAGAATTGGTACTAAATAAAGAGCTGTTTGGGAGCCGAAAGAGACGGTTCTTTTTGCTGAGCTGAGCCAAATGATCCGGGATCCCTAAAAAGAACCGGAATTCCCATCACCAGCGGTCAGATGATGGTCTGCACCATTGTGTGCTCAAACATTCAGCTGTGTATTCTGATGAAATCTGAAGGTAAAGCTTCTCCAGCATGTGTGTGCTTGTGGCTCTGATGTTTATGGTTCATGTTCGTCTGAGACGGAGTGACAGTCGCTGAGATGAATCTCCAGATCTGATAAATCCTGTCTGATCACGTGCTTGGCTTCATCTTACCAGTAATGCGGCCCACTTTCCTCAGTCCTCTGAAATGGCTTCCAGCGAATCCGGCCACATGCGCTCCCAGACTGTAGCCGATCAGATGGACGTCATCCATGCAGAGCTGCGCCACTTCCTGTCCAGAGAGGAAGTGCCATCAGGACTCAAGCGGTTCACTCTTAGATACAAATATCACAGCCTCCCAGAGTCGCACTGCACTCGATTATAATGTAATTCATAAATATTAAACCCTTTTAACATTATTAAAAGTACATACTGAGTGACTGATACCACCTTTGTTATGGAATACACTCGTTGGTTTGCCGTTTTAACGCACATTTTTGCTTTAATTTATTTTCAAGATCTGAGGTAAACTATCTATTGTTGCTTTCAGTATGGTTATAAATGTCACACAATATGATATTCAAACTCACATTAGACACTTTTAACTTTGAATAAGACATAATCAGTACTTCAGATGATCATTTTCACAGTTTGTATGCTGTTGTTCCAGCGGCTGGTTAGGACAAAAAGATTAACATGGAAAAGATTTTCACTCGGCGTCGCGTATAGTTAGGACACGGTGTAATAGAACGTTTGTTCAAAGTTATCTGGTCTTTAATAATGCTCTCAAACTGTTATTTATACATTTTTCACAGAGCATTTTCATTATGAAACGTTTTAGTTGGATGTTCATCTAAAGTTTCTTAAATGTTGCTTCTTGTTTCAGAATGTTGAGAGAACATTCAAAAGTAACAATTCCAATAATGTTTGCAAAATGATACAATGGAATGTTTGCTTGACATTCGCATAACCAAGAAAAATTTTTATTTAACCCTGTTCGGCCATTTTTGACTGAAGAATTTTTATAGTTTTTTTTATTATTATTTTTTATTTTTTTTTAAATGTACTTCATCGGAATGGTACGAAACCTGGTAAACTTGCTGATAGCTCTAAAAGAATGACCACAGAGTCGCCAGAGTCTGTAGAGAAAAACATTCATCAGACTTGTACTGTTTGCAGTCAAAAATGGGAGCTGAATCTAGTGGAAACGTTAGGTGCTGCACCCAAACTAAATCTGACTGAAATCTCATTTTTTGAGATGTCAACCTCAAATTTGGAACACAACTTGTTTAGATTTATGCCTTTGATTTTTATACGTTTTGAAAAATACATATTTCTAATATAAAATTAGTATTTTGTGCATTATTCATAATAATGAACATTATTTTTATAACTTATTTTGGTTTTTATTTATTTATTTTTTAGCCTTTTCCACTTCAGTCTGCAAAATGTCATCTTTATTAAGAAACCAAACTGAAACAAGTCTGTGCTTCAAAACATTCAAGATTTACAGCAGTTTAAGTTTCTTGTCTATGCTCAAAAAGTGATTGGGGAAGCTAGCGAAATGTTCTCAAAACATATTTTTGTTAGCTGGGTTAATCAATCTCTCCATATTTTATCCTCTGTTGAAGAGTCGTAGAAGAGCAAATGGGAACACAAAACATATATTTGCTGTCGCTTCCGTGCACCACTATACATGTTTACCCAACTATGATGACTTCCCCTTCTGAGAACCCCAGAAATAAGGTTTGTGTTGGGTTTGGTTCAGCAAACGTTTCCACTCAAGACCTTCATTACCTCCAGCCATTTGAGCAGCGCGGCCACGTCCCTCCCCACCTGTCTGCTGTTCTTGGCTGCGACTGGATACGGCTGAAGCGCCAGCTTCCTCCAATCACTGATGAGAACATTGACCCGCTCGAGCCGGACCTTCAGCGCAGAAGCCAGATCAAAGATCCAGGGCTCCATGCGTCCATTCGTCTGAGAGCAGCAGGAAGAGCTGACGTCATTCACACTCAAACATGCGGCAAAACAAAGCCATCGCTCAAAGTCTTTCCCGTGTCCTCCGTCTCGAGGAGCTTCCTGTCTGCTCTACATGTTTGTTGGCTTGTGAACTGAGTCGTAAAGCAGCGATACGCAGCGTTTAACAGGCAGTAAACACAGATATGATCTCGCTTTGCCTGAGAAACAGCTCTGTGACCATTAAACAGATTGCTTTCAATAGGAGGAACTACTTTATGAAGGTAGATTTATGATTATTGAAGACATTTCCAAGAACATGTAAAGATGGAAAATTGAATGGAACACAATATAAAAATCTGAGTCAACTTGAGTTGTATTAGCAACACCTCAGAGTTTAAGAATTCAACTTCTAACTAATTTCCTTTAGTTTTTAAAGCATTTTACGAAAACATCTTAAGTGTTGAATTTCTCTGCTCTCAAACGCTAGAATACTGGAATATCTTCTACTGTTCCTTCTGATCACACTGCATTAAAGTGCTGTTCTTCCTCAGTGTTTCTGTCTGGTTTTCCAGTGCAAATGTTTAAAGATCCTTAAATCTAGATACATTCACTGGAGATGCAAAATGACATGAGATATAAAGCCTTGTTTTATGTGTTTAATGCTTCCTTCAGTGAGTTTTTGATTAAAATGACAACAAATATCTGCCAATGGAATCAGAAAACAAGTTTTTATTCCCTACTGACAGATATTTAGGGCCCAAGCCCTAAGGGCCCTATTGTTCTTCTAAGGATTATTCTTGTTATTCTTGCTATTCTTGTTCTTGTAAATGTATCTTGATTTAAGGATGTTTAGATATGTGTACTGGAAAACAAGACAAAAATACTGAGGAAGATATTCATTCTTTGCAGTGCGTGCAACATTTAATGCCGTGACTTTATGAATTTAAGAGTTTCTGCTCTCAATTAAGACCTTAATTTGTGGAGGGGTGAATTGAGACTTCTTAAGACCTTCTTACGAGCCACATAAAGGCCGTTGTGTGTTGTTTCTCTCACCGTCCAGCCGTGTATAATCAGCACCAGCGGGTCGCTGCGGTTGTAGGCACATCTGTGGAGGGTTTCGGACTGGAACGGGACCACGGCGCAGGTCTCCTCAAACACACTGCCCTCGTGATACAGATGGAAGCTGGACTTCAGCACCGTCTTTACTGGAGGAGTCTCTGCTAAAATTAAACCCAGATGTGTAATTTCAGAGCACGAAGCCCCGTCCCATCACGCCGTCCTGCGGCTTTCAGGACTTTCCATGGCAAACGTTCAAAGAGCTTCTCTGAGAACATGCAATTAGACAGTGAAGTTTGCTGTGTCAGTCTAAAATAAGAGCTCCATGGCATGCTTTAACCCGGCTGGTGGATCCAATAGTATCCAGCTGCAGACCCGCAGCACCAGCAGTTTCAGAACCGCAGCCACAGAACCGGAAGTGAGGGGCGGCGTTATTGACAACGAGAGAGCACGGTGAGTAGTCTGTAATGTTTTTGCTATCATATGTTTAATAATTATCGTATATATTACGTTAAGCATTTATCTGCTAAGTACTTAACGTGTGCTTGGCTTTATTATCTTATATTGAAACTTGAATTTGTGGTCATACTTTATAGTATATAACTTGTTTCTGTGGATGTTTCGATTAATTTTCGGATGCATGCTGTAAATGGGCCTTGTAGTGAAGTTTTGAAGACGTTTATTATTCATAAAAATAAATAGCTTGCTTTAATTCCCTCTGGTATATGCATTGTTTGTGTGTTAATATTACCTTGTAGTTTAGTTATTTTAATCCCAATCATTGAGATAATTGTGTGTGGCTTCATCTCTTGTAGAGACATATAAGGATTCAGAGAGCTGACACATTACCTGAGCTGCAGCAGTGCAACAAGTGTTACAGCAATTACCAGCAATTTTCTGCTTGACCAGCATGTTTAAGCCAGCCAAACTGGTCAAAT